GCCTGGGGACCCGGAGCCCCCCCGTCGCGGCTGGAGCATGGGCCGGCGGCTTTGTCTCGGTGCTGGCGGCTTTGCACGGCGCCGGAGCCGCTGCAGCGAGACGGGAAACTTGTCCCCTCGCAAGGGCCTGTCCGGGGGGAGCCGCCTCGACAACGAGCGCTCTCGCCTGCGGGGGCTTCGGGAGGAGAAGGGGGCACTGGTGGATCCGTCCCCCCCCACCCCCAGCCCTGGGGCAGGTGCAAGGTGCAGGCCGGTGCCGGTGCAGCTGCTGACGGTGCTTGTGCCTTTGCAGACGCGGGGGACCCGGACAAGGAGAGCCCCGGCTGTAAAAGGAGACGGACCCGCACGAATTTCACGGGCTGGCAGCTGGAGGAGCTGGAAAAGGCCTTTAACGAGAGTCACTACCCGGACGTGTTCATGCGGGAGGCGCTGGCCCTGCGGCTGGACCTGGTGGAGTCCCGAGTGCAGGTAAAAACCCTCCTGCTTCCTCCGGGAGGCTCCTGTCGCTGGCAGCGATTCCCGCGACCAGGCCCTTTAGCATCCTCCTCCCGTGTCCCGGCCCGAGGCGCAGGGGCCCCGGCTGCTGCGCGGACTGAACGCGGAGGCGCCCCGGGCAGCTGCGGTTCTCCGCCGGGACGGAGCTCCGGCAGCGCCCCCGGGTCCCCGCTGTAACCGTGGAGGCTTTCACGAGGGCCCGCAGCGTGCGAGCAACGGCTCCGGCCCTCGGCCCTGTCACTGCAAACTGCTTGTTCTTAAGCAAGCCGAGAGCGCAGGGCGAGTGCGGCCTGGTGCGGGGCGCTGCGGGGGAGCGCGGCTCGGGGCAGATCCGGGGCGCAGCAGATCCCCTCGGCTCGCACGTGCGTGGACATCGGGGTTATTTGGAAGCGCAGGCCCTGGGCTGTTTCCCGGAGCTGGCGGGCCTTTGCGCCCCCGGGGGAGCCTCCAGTCTCAGGGCGGGCCCCGGCGCCCGCACCCTTTCAGACATGTGTATTGTGCGTGGACTTGTGTGTGGGTCGGGGCCTCTGTGCGGGGCGGGAGAGCTGGATCCGGAGCCGTAGCGCCGGGTGCTCCTGCGGGCTCGGGGGTACGTGTGTGCCGGTGCATCGCGTGCTCCGCAGCCGCCGGGGCCGGGATCGGGCTCGTAGCAGCGCGGGCCGCATTGTCTAACGGGGAATTTGCAACACGCCGCTTCCTCCCCTGCTCCGCTGCGAGACCCCGGGGCCGCCGGCCGGGCACGAAGGCAGGGGCCAGGCCCGCGGGCCCCGCGCCGCTGCCTCCCTCGTTCCCCGATCCGCGTCGGCTCCTGCTGCCCGGCCTCGTGTGCGGACAAAGGCAGCCACGACCCACGCAGGGGAGGGCACAGGCTCCCCACTCGCGATCTGCTGTATCCGTGTGTGAAGCGCGGGCCTGGCCCGGCTGGAAACGCAATAAACGAGCTCTGCTTTGGTCTGATTTTTTTTTTAAAATTATTATTATTAGTAGTAGTAGTATTACTATTAGTATTTATTTTATCCACTGAAGAAGGGGCGAGCAGCGGCCGGCCCGGGGGAGGCTTCTCCCTCCGCGTCTCGGCGCGGATCTTGTCCCCCGGTCCCGGGGAGGCGGGTGCAGGCAGGGCCGGGCGAAGCCGCTTGGAAACACGCGGGAGCGGGGCCAGGCCCGGGACAGGGGCCGAGCCCCGTTGCAGCCGCGGGGGCCCCCGCTGCCCCGCTCCCGGGGTCTG